ATCAAAGCCCAAGGGTGTTTAATTCAAACCCAATTTCAAACCAATTTCAAATCATTTTCCAAGAACAATCTTCAAACATGACAACACCAATGCAAATATCAATGAACACATTTAGAGTGGTAAACGGTGTCTCGGTCTTGAATGACCTCTTAGACTTGGACTTGGGTATTTGGGATATCCTTTATTGCTACTCCTTATGTCGTAATAAAGGCGGTAAAACCTATTATGTCAAAGTTCGGTCGTTGGACCTCCAACTCGTTACTGAACTTCCTGATAATGACAAGCATTGCTCTGATTTCCTTCAAGTCGGAGGTAATTGGGAGTTTGCGGCCGAGGAGGTGGGCCGATCGAAGCGGGTTCCACGAGAGAACGGCCACCGAGGTCATTCTTTATTGTAGCTTCCTTTTATCCATTCGCTTATCGCCTGTGATGATTTTTTTTTAAAGTGTTATTGTTCGTACTTGCAGGTTCAAAGAAGCTAAAAAGGAGGCCAGAGAAAGAGCATCCGAGGGATATCAAAGTTGCACTAAGGTACGAAGATCGGTCGGCTTCACATTTGCTTAACTATGTGCGAACTTACAGACATGTCATCCAACAGAAACCCAAAGTAAACAACTTCTCGAGGGACTCACTTGAGATTGAAACTGAAGAACAAGTTGGCCATACCATCGGAGCTTCCTCTTCCGCTGTAGTTTGTTCATCAAGTGGATCACTCAGTAGAGGCTACTCTCCGTCGCCAGACTTAGCAAGCGAAATGGCTCGTCGCCAAAAGCTCAATCTTGATGCCTTAGTCTTTGGATCTGATAATGAAGACCTTCTAGCTATTTCGACGGTCGACACACGAGTTTCTTCTCCACCGATTGAGAGGTCTAAGGGTGGAAAAAAGCATGTTGTTGTTCTTTGTCACGACCCAAACCCGCCCCTATGGGTTTAGTACCGTAACCGGCCAGTAATCCGAGATTACCGAAGGCCTGCCTAACAGTAGAACAGTAAAACAGAGTACAGGGGCTGGCGGAAGCCATTATAGTAAATAAACAATGTCCAAAGAGCTGTGACAGTCTGTATGCAAAAAGACTTTTCACACATATACGCAATCAGTGACAAAACAGTATGTACATTATATACAGTCATTCAGACCAGGGACATAATCCCTATTAAACAGTACAGTACAGTCTATCAGTCTATACATTTTGTACAGTTGTTACAAAACAGATACAGAAACAGACGAAGGAAATTTAAAACACCTCTAAGCCATAGCTTGGCAGGCTCGGAACCTCGCAGTGAGGCACAGTGGTTAGCTTGACAAAACTGGAGTTTACCCCGACGCTCCTAGCCGCGGTCTGGTGCCTGAACACCTACATATATATATGAGCAGTGAGCTAAAGCCCAGTGAATAACACAATGCGTAAAGGGGTTAAGAATGAATGTCTTTACAGTAATGAAAACAGTTCAATTCAATCAGTATTTCAGTCGCTTAAATTTGGTTGTTGAGAATATGACATTTTGGTTTGGTGCAGTGCATTCAGAGGATGCACATCATGGATGAAAGGCGGCATCGTGAGGAGCAAGAGAAGGTTAAGACGATCAACATGTTGGCTGATGCTGATATGTCCTTGAAGGCGGCCGGAGAGGATATAAAGGAGATGGAAGATGCAAAGAAGAAGGCCGAAGCACTGATGTTCATGGCCGAGCGGAGGGCCGTAGATGCCGATGCTGCTTTGAAGTCTTTAAAGGCTAATTATCAAGGGATGGTGGACGAGGCCGAACAGAGGGGCTATGACGAGGCCGAAAAGACCTATTCGGAGGAGATTTTGAAGCTGAGGGACAAGATCTTTACTAAGGGTTGGACTGGGGCTCTGCGTGCTGCTAAAGTGGAAGAGGCTTCTCCTCTTTATGATATTGACGATATCCCAGTCCCTTCGAAGACCGCTGCAAGGGTTAGGATGAGAAGGCCTCGCCAAGGTGGAGCTACGGATGTTGATCCTTCTGGCCTTTCTCCTTTCCTGCCGAGCTCTTCCTTGGTTAGACAGACTGTCAATCCTACATAAGAGGAGCACCGCGAGGATGGACACTACGAGGAGGAGCAACGTGAGGAGTAAGTTGTTAGGTTGCCTCGAGTTTTGCTTTTACTTCTGCTTTTTAGTAGTTCTTTTGTAATGAAACTTGGAAGTTAATGAAGTATATTCGACTTTTGTTTTAGTGCTCGGTTGGATAGGCTATGATACAAACCGAGCTCTCTTTTGTAATGAAGTGACTTCTAAATTTGCCAACTGTTGAACTTGCAACTTGTACTTTTTATTTGCCTTGGAGTTCGGTCGACTGGACCTCTTCTTTTGTAAGGCCGAACTCTTTTTGTAATCGAAGTTTCACTTCAATGCACTCGATCTTACATTTTCGCAAGTGTTGAACTACTTATCTTCAATTTTTGCTTGTATGTAATGTTTGCCCCCAGCCGAGCAGAGGCTCTGTGGCCTAGCAGGCCATTTGTTCGGTCTGATCAGGCTTCGTGCCTTAGAAAAAATTGAGTGAGTTTGTTGATGCCCCCAGCCGAGCATGAGCTCTGTGGCTCGGAAGGTTGTCTGTTCGGTCAAACCATGCTTTATGCCTTCGTAGAGAAAAAATTGTGAAAGTTTTTTATCATGTTGGTCGGCCGCCTCCTGACTTGGTCAAGTTTCGGCGTGATTTAACCCTTCGTAGAGTGTAATTCTGCCCGTCTTCGAGCGCGAATTGTGAATTTGGACCGTGCTTTAAGTAACGATACTTGGCACAAATTCCACCAAGCTATACCACTTGGCACCCCGCTCCAACCAAAGGGTTGAATATCCGGGATTGGCTTGAGTTAAGACCCGTGGCCAATTTGCTCCACCGAGCATAAATGTACAACACAAGTAAATAAGGACAAACTACAAAACAAATTTTCATTCATTGATACTTGTAACTTTTGATTACATCAAGGCATGTTCTGAGAAATACATTACTGTAAGTACTTCATCCTAAGAGTCATATCACTGGAAGTACTTCTTTAGGTTGGCGACGTTCCATGGTCTAGGGATTGCCTTCCCTAATAAGTCAGCCAAATAGTATGCGCCATTGCCAAGTGCTGAAGTAACCTTGTAGGGCCCCTCCCAGTTAGCACCGAGTTTCCCTTCCCCGGGGACTTTCTTGTGATCCATTACCTTCCTGAGTACCAAGTCACCTGGTAAGAATTGCCTTGGACGCACATTCTTGTTGAAGCTCTTAGTGAGTTGCTGCTGGTAGGCCGCCAACCGAATAAGGGCAGCTTCCCTACGTTCTTCGGCCATGTCCAGAGCTTCGGCGATGGCTTCATCATTGTCTGTTGGCTCAAAGATCTCAGAACGGATGGTAGGAAGGCCAACCTCTAAAGGGATGACTGCTTCTATCCCATAGGTAAGAGAGTAAGGTGTCTCACCGGTTGACCGACGAGGAGTAGTTCGGTAAGCCCAGAGGACATTCGGTATCTCCTCCACCCATTTGCCCTTGGCTTTTTCAAGACGCTTTTTTAGCCCATCAATGATCGTCTTATTGGACGCTTCAGCTTGGCCATTGCCCTGTGGGTAGGCCGGAGTGGAGTTTCGGAACTCTATCTTCAAGTCAGCGCAAAATCTTCTGAAGATCCTCTTAGTGTCTGCTTCTTTGATCTTGCATAAGGCCTCCGCCTCCACCCACTTGGTGAAGTAGTCAGTTGCAGCGATGAAAAACCTTTTATTCCCAGTTCCCCTAGCTAATGGTCCAACAATGTCTGAGCCCCACTGAGCGAATGGCCAAGGACTGGTGAGGGGGGTTAGGGCTTTGGCTGGCTGGTGAATGAGAGGAGCAAACTTTTGGCACTTGTCGCACTTGCGGACATACTGTTGGGCCTCCTTTTGCATGCGCGGCCACCAATACCCGTGTGTTAGGGCTCGGTGTGCCAAGGACCGACCACCAGCGTGGCTCCCACAGATTCCATCATGGATCTCATAAAGCACGTCTTCCACCAGACTTGGATGAACACAGAGTAGATAAGGGCCCATGTAGGACTTCTTGTAAAGCTTACCAGATGGGGAGACCCAAAATCGAGCAGCTCTATGCCTTGTCTTGTGCGCTTCTTTTTTGTCCTCAGGAAGGGTGCCATTCTTCAAGAAGGCCAGGAGTGGGTCCATCCAACTTGGGCCCAAATCTGTGCAGAGGACCATTTCGACTAGTCGAATACTTGGTTGGGGTACATATTCCACCCATATTTTGCGGGCGTCTCTAGAGTCGACCGAGGAACCTAGGCAAGCTAAAGCATCAGCATGACCATTTCCCTCTCGGCCAATCTTCTCGACTCTGATGGCTTGGAACTTTCTGATCAAATTTTTGGCCTGTTCTGCATAAGTGGCCATCCGTTCATCGCGAGCCTCATAAACTCCAGAGAGTTGGTTGACCACTAATTGGGAGTCACTAAAGACGAGTAGCTCCTCCGCGTTGAAGTGTCCGGCACTTCGCAAGCCGGCTAGTAGAGCTTCATACTCTGCTTCATTATTAGAAGCTTTCCAGCCCAACCGAATGGCTTGCTCCCACATGAATCCTTCAGGAGAAATAAGGACAACTCCTGCTCCAGAGCCTTTTTGGTTAGAAGAACCGTCTACAAACAGCTTCCATACGTCTCCAACAAAAAGCTTCCATGCTTCGGCTGGGGATTGCCCTTTATGCTGGGCAGTCATAGTGACCAAAGCAGAGCTCCCTTCGGAGGGGACAGCCGGTCCCGGGGTGAATTCTGCAACAAAGTCTGCCAGAACTTGAGCTTTGATTGCTGTTCGAGGTTGGAACTTGATATCAAACTCTCCAAGCTCCACCGCCCACTTTGCTGTTCGGCCTGAGAAATCTGCTCGACTGAACACCGACTTGAGGGGGAATTCAGTGAGGACGTTGATGGTATGTCCTTGAAAGTAATGAACAAGCTTCCTAGAGGCAATTAATAGTGCATATGCCAATTTCTCCAATGGCAAGTATCTAGTTTCGGCATCAAGGAGTGTCTTACTAACGTAATACACTGGTTTTTGCTCCTTCCCATCCTCTCTGACTAGCACTGCGCTAACGGCATGATCAGAAACAGCCAAGTAAAGGAAAAGCTCTTCGTTGGCGACAGGTGTTGATAGAAGGGGAGGAGAGGACAAATACTTCTTCAAATCTTCTAGCGCTTCGGAGCACTGACTTCCCCACTCAAAACTGGTTTTCTTCCTTAGAAGTTGGAAGAAGGGCTTCATCCGATCAGATGACCGACTGATGAAACGGTTAAGTGCTGCAGCCATACCAGCGAGTTTCTGGAGTTCTTTAGCCTTTGTAGGTGCTTCAAGGTCTTGGAGGGCTTTGATTTGGTCAGGGTTGGCTTCAATGCCCCGCCTAGTCACCATATACCCCAAAAACTTCCCTGATCCTACTCCAAAGGCACATTTCGAGGCGCTCAATCGAAGCTTGTGAGTCTTCAGAATTCCAAACACTTTCTCAAGGTCCCTTAGATGGTGCTCGGCCAACTTGCTTTTGACGACCATGTCATCAATGTATACTTCCATGGTTTTACCAAGCTGGTCCTTGAACATTTTGGTGACCATTCGCTGGTAGGTCGCACCAGCGTTTTTCAAGCCGAAGGGCATCACTTTGTAGCAGTAAATGCCTCTAGGGCTGATGAAAGCCGTTTTCTCTTGGTCAGGACCGAACATAGGGATCTGGTGGTAGCCACTATAGGCGTCTAGAAAGCTCATGCGCTCATGTCCAGCCGTTGCGTCAACAAGTTGATCTATTCGTGGAAGGGGGAAGCTATCCTTGGGGCAAGCTTTGTTAAGGCTAATGAAATCAACGCAGACTCTCCATTTGCCATTCTTCTTTTTCACCACGACGGTGTTGGACAGCCACTTTGGGTACTGCACTTCTCGAATGACTCCAGCAGCCAAAAGTTTGTCCACCTCTTCGATCACTGCATCGGTGTGTTGCGTGGATGATCGTCTACTCTTCTGAATAACCGGCTGCGCTCCTAGTTGGACGTTGAGTCGATGACAGGTATAGTTGGGGTCCAACCCAGGAGTGTCATAGGCCGACCAGGCGAACACTTCGATGTTTTTACAGAGTAGAGCCAGTAATTGCTCTTTCTCTCCAACAGTAAGGGAAGTGCCGAGCAGGAAGAACTTATCTGGGTTTCCTTCTTCTACCAAGACCGTCTCTAGGTCCTCTACCATCTTCTCGGTCGGCACTCCGCTGACGTCTTCCAAAACTGGCTGGTCAGGTACTTCTACCATCTGTACTTGGTCGCAGACTTGTTTGGTTTTCATGGCGGCAATGAAGCAGTGTTTGGCTGCCACTTGGTCTCCACGAATCTCCTCTACTCCATACTTGGTTGGAAAGCGAACGAGTTGGTGATAGGTGGTAGGAACTGCCTCCATCTGGTGAATCCAAGGTCGGCCGAGGATGGCATTGTAGGGAGATGGGGTGTTTACCACCAAAAAGTCAACAGAGACCACCTTGGACTTAGCTATGACAGGCAGAGTTATTCGGCCGAGCGGCCGTTCTGTTTGCGAGTTAAAGCCAACTAAAGGGGAGGTGGCAGGTGTCAGGTGTTGCTCACTGAGGCCGAGCTTCTTGAAAAGTTCATAATACATGATGTCTGCGGCACTTCCTTGGTCAATCAAGACTCGCTTCACATCGAACTTGTTGGCCACACCAACTGTAACGATGAGGGCATCGGTGTGGGGGTACTGGATTCTCTCTAGGTCCTTTTCAGTGAACACGACGTTAAACCGAGAAGGTCTGGCTTCTGTCTTGGACTTTTTAGGAGGAGGTCCTACCGACATTACCTGTTGAATGTGGGTGGCACGTTGGATTTCTCCTCGAATTATGTTTTCTCTTTCTGGGTCAGTCATTCCATGGATAACGTTGATGACCAACCTCGGGGCATGGTTTTCTTCAGGAGGGGCTTGGTCTAGTCCCTGCTTTTCCCTCGTCTTATCAACGTCTATCCATTGATGGAGGTGTCCTGCCGTAACTAAGTCCTCCAAGTGTTGTTTAAGAGCTCTGCAATTTTGCGTCTTGTGTCCCTTCTCTCGATGATAGGTGCAACGCAGTGTTTGATTGCGCCGAGCAGGGTCTCCAGGCATCTTACCTGGCCAAACAAAGAAGGCTTCCCCTTTAAGTTTCTCGACGAGCCTGTATATTGGCTCTTTGAAGACGGTGGTGATGCCTTCATAAGACTTGGCCCTTTCCTCCTCATTTTCTGCTGTGGAGCGGTTCCTTTGGCCATAGTTCTTGCGCTGCTCATCCCTCCTTGGCTGCTCAGTCTTAGGTGGTTGAGGCGGTCTGACTTCTTCTTCAGCAACCACAATATGTACTGAAGCAGCGCCATCTTCCACGCGAGCTTGTTGCTCTATTCGAGCCCTCAAATCCTTCATGGTGGAGGCAGGTCGTTTTGTCAACGACTGTCTTAGCTTGTGCGAAGGAGGTAGGCCTTGCTTGAAGTATAGCACGGCCAATTGTTCACTGCAAACATTTTCCTCCAGGTCACCATACTCCTCCCAATACCGTCACGTGTATTGGCGTAGGGTTTCTTTCCTGTCCTTTCGGATATTGAACAGGGTATCTAACTGCTTTGGGACTCTGCTGTTGGAGACGAATCGGGCTAAGAACGCCTCCGAGAGTTGCGTCCAGTCATAAATCGAGCCATTGGGGAGTTTGTCAAACCATCGGAGGCCAAGTTCTCCAAGGCTAGAGGGGAAGACTTTGCACATGAGTGCGTCGTTACAGTTCCAGAGGGACATCATCTGGCGATAATGGCTGATATGGGTCAAAGGGTCCGTCTTCCCATCATAGAGAATGAATTTCGGCGGGCTATACTTCCGTGGAGGTTCGACAGCTTCTACCTCTGGGGAGAAGGGGGTGGACACCAACCGGTCTAGAGCACGATGCTCTTGTTGGTGTATGGACCAGTCTAACTGGTCCCTTTCCCTGCTGAGCCGGCGGTCCTCCTCCCTATCTCCTCGACGTTCTCCTTCCCTGCATAGCCGTCGTGCCTCTTCTCTGTTATCGTTCAGCCAACTTCTCAAATCATGCGGCCGCTCGTCGTGGCGACAATGAAAGGTTCCAGATAGGCGGCTGACAGTCCTCTGCCTTTTACGAGAATTCCCTCGCGGGTTATATTTAAGGTTATTCGTCCTACTGCTGGCCCCTTCACTATGCACCGAAATCGGCCGGCCACGCTCTCTATGAGCAGGGCCACGGCTGGAGTGCTCCTTGTGAGGCGGCGGAGAAGTACGTCTCCTTTGCGATGGTCCGCCAACGGATTTTCTTGGCTCCGCTGGGGTCGCCATGAACTTCAACAATTGGGTACGAAGCTCAGTGATCTCCAAACCCATTGAGTCGATGATGCGGTCACGGTGGTCTTTCTCAACAAAAAGGCGTTGAGATGTCTCAGCGGCAATGACACGGCGTCGCTCCGCCGCATTGGGTGTCTGATCATCGTGGTCTATAAGGTCATCGTGCGCTGGAGGGAATGCCAGACCCTTATCTTTGGTTCTCTCCATCATTGGAGTCCTCTCTGCTAGCCCAGAGTGGGGTGTATCTTCGATTCCCATCGCCGGAGGTCGTTACGAAGCAAACAGTGGTTTTCCCACAGACGGCGCCAATTGTGCGGGGGTGATTTCCGCACTATGAAGAAGGGTTGAACTTCGTGGATGAACAGCAGGCTTTGGGAATTGAAAATCTGCACAGAGTAACAAACGGTGAGGCTGCCCGACCGGGGTTTGGTCGGAAACCCCTCCGATGGTAAAGTCAGGGACTCCGGGAGAGGAAGAAGAGAGAAGAGAGAATACAAAGAGTGTATATGTGTTATGTGTGTGGATTTCGGATCCCCTCAGAGTGAATAGTGTTCACCTTTTATAGGAGAAGGTTGTTTGTCGTTCAAGTCCTTCTCTCTCCGCCATCTGTCCAATGTGTCTTACTCGTGGTCGTCTCCTATTGGAGGAGGACGACCACTCCGCCTGACACTCGGGTGCAGGTCTGTTTTGTTTGTCTCGTTAGCGGACATCTCTCATTGGAGGAGGACAGCCACTCCTCCTGCCATTCGGACGCAAGTCTGTCATATACGCACCTTGTCCCTCTGCGCCTCCATGTCTCCACGTTCTGTTCATACAGAGGGGGAGGAGCAGGGTTGTTTGTCTCTTGTGAGCCCAAGAAAGATTTTTAGTGAATTGGCCTTCTCTAAGTTGGTCTGCTCTAGAACGGTTGTCCAACCAGGAGGTCCAATATGTTACTCAACCCACTTCGGAGTGGTTCTGTCCATCCGGAAGGTCCACCATGTTGCCCGGCCCACTTTTGAGTGATGCTCGTACATTGGGCCGAACTCCTATGATTGCCTTGCTTCGGAGCAAGTGTTGGCCATAAGGCTGAGGTCCGACCTAGCTCCACCTTAGAGTGAGTATTGCATTGAACCTAGCACCAAGACTTGATTAATTTTCACCCACTTCACCCCTATCTTTTAAAATATACACACAACACCCTTATAGTTTGGAGTGAATTGTAAAAGTAACAAGATCTGTCTAAATTAACAATGTGTCTCTGACACACTCTGAATTATACGTGTGGTGCAAAATATTTTGAGAAAATGACACTTTTATCCTTTGTTTTTTGTATTCTCCTCTTCTTCGCTGCAACCTGCAACACCACCATGGTTTACTGTCCATCTACTTCATCACATCTCACTCTCAATTCGTCCAACAACCCAAGGCCACGCAAACCATCTGCCACCATACACCATCCACCAGCACTACAACTATATATATATGTACATATCTAGGTTCAAAAGCAAGTCTCCAAACAAATTTGTGAAACGGATTGGATCCAATTGGAATTAAAGAAACATAGTTTGGGTGGTTTAATGAAAATTGCAACTTGTAATGCAAAGACTGGTAAGTCAATAGTGAATATATATAGATGTACACAAAGTTACTTAGAGACTACCCAAGACAAACAAGAATGTTTTCAATTACAACATCTTACCTGACACTAAGCAGATTTATCAATGTGTGCACCGTAAGTTGGAATTGGGTTTTGGTTTGTGGTTGCTTCAGATAGGAGAATCATGGCTTCTTCCATAAAACAAAATAATAAATAAATAAGAGAATAGTGAGTGCTGAAGAACGGTGAAAAAAACAGAAAGATTATGGTCATTGGATGTGAAAACAACTGGTGACGTCGTGGGTTAAGCTCCAATACGCTGAGAGATTGGATTGTGATGTCATAAAAAGAAAATTAAATAACAAAATAACAAAATAAGGGTAATATAGACTTTTGTAAAAGTTATTGACAGTGACTTTATATTTTACTCCAAATCACGAGAAGTTACGCACTATGTAACCTAAAATAGGATTGTTCCGGTACATGGTGCAGGAACGAGAATGGGAACGTAATACGCAACATATTTTAAGATGTGATATGATAGGTGTAAACTTATAAATATTACACTTCACAATTTAATATAGTTCTAGAGTAGTTTTCTTTAAATTATTAGGTATCCAATAATATATATATATTTTTTCATGTAGCAAATCATTTCTATAAAAATTATGACCTATTTTTTATATTTTTGTCTTATTAAAACTTAACTCACCTTAGATTTTAGTTCATATAATTGATTTTTTTTTCTCCTATGGTAACATTGAAGGAAATATATTGGAAAAAAAAAACTTTTGGGATCATTTTGGATCACTAAATTTATCATTTTAGAATGAAAGTGTACCATCTTTTGGAATGTGCGTACCAATACGTAATTTGTTAGGATATTAATGTTTTCTGGTAACATAGGTTGTGTATATTTTTAAACTACAAGGAGGTAATGTGTATTTTAGTTAAATCATAGGGAAGTAAAGTGTAATTAACTGTAGTTAATTTTAAATTTTTTTTAAGAATTTACAACTCCCATTGAACAAAATAATCCAATTCATATACTTAGAATTAACCTCGATTCCAAAAAATAAATAAATAAAAGGAAATAATTTCATCATATTAGACTCGAGGGTCTTGGTCTGTAGAAACAACAAATAATTCAAAACATCGGAAAGAAAAACAAAAATTTACTCGAACTGCTATAGAAAAGTAACTCTAACAACAAAACTTCTTAAAAAGTTTCAATTTTATTACTAGGACATTGAGATAAAAAATCACTATTTTTATTATGGAATTATGGTGGAGTTATGGAATTAAGGTAGAGAAATTAGAGACAAAGAAGGAAGCTCAAAGATAGAGAGAATATGGAGAGAATTTACATGCTTCATTATGTTGGCATAAAAGCCAATATATAGACTTACAATGGGTGAATACAAATAAAATATAACTTAATGCCTATCTAACTCTATATCTAACATATCTAACTTTAACATATCTAACTTTGCAAGACTTTACGTCCAAAAATTATAAAATTTCTAACTCTTTAGATAAGCCTAATCATAGACTTTATAAAAAGTCTACCTAAAATTAATAAATGATGCCTCGCACATTCTGAAATGGCAGAATAAACAATCCAACAGTTATCTTTTGAGTACAGAATAAAAACAAATGTAACAAACATTTAGAAGACCTACCTATCTTGCAAATGTATGGATCCACATAGGCACAACGCCCCAAAAATATTCCTTTTGAGGAATTCCACCGAACACTCCTCCAACAAGCATACTGAAGTCGAACAATATGGGATTGAAAGCCTACATGCCAAGATAACATAAAAGCTTTTACACATTTTTCAAATAAATGCTATGTAATAATACTTTAAGACTATCAACAAACTTCAATGTTAATATAGACAACTTTTGTACTTCCTAACCAATGATAGGCACTCTGAAAAAGCATTTAATGAAAAATTATAATAAAATATTACTTAAGAAAATATTTAGGTCAAGTTTGGCATCTCCTATATAATTTATATTTTTATCTTTTTTTCATCACATCACTTTTCTATTTTTTTACACATTTTTTCATAAAAAGACAAAAAATATATTTATTTAGACCATTCCAAACAACTCCTTAAAATCATTCATTTCATTTTAAAAATAATCCACACAAAGTTATAAAGAACCACATGTTTCACTTTCGAAGTTTATTTTATGGTACATATCTTTTTCTTGTTACCCTCTCCATGCCTACATATTGTAGATCTTGCCGAAAGCCCGTTCACAAAGTCTAAGAAGGTGGGAATGGTTTGTCTTTGAAAAATCTAGAAATTCCCTAGATGTTGATTTGTGATTGTATATCAATTTTAAGCAGCATATAACAATCCCAATCAAACAATCAAGACAAAGAGACACAACGATTTTACGTGGAAAAAATCACAATTGGATACCTCCAACTGTGATAAAAAAACCACGGGCAACAGCCACAAAACAATCCACTAAGAAGATTCAAA